TGCTGACGGAGTCCCAGGGCTGCCCCAGAGGCTGATACTTTTCTTATTGGGTAGTGATGCATGGTTAACGTGTGTTCTGGAACAGTGCGTGGGGAGTGCGAGGGGTTTGGGTTTTGTTTTTTAACCCAGGAGACCAGGATTCCTGGGTTTTGTTATTCCTCACCATACTTAGTCTCTCTGAAGACAGCCACGCAAACATATTAACATTCAGCGTGGCTCGGTGGTAATCCTAGCTCATTGGGAGTCAGAAGTACCACGTGGCTGCTAAAAAATAAACACCAAGGCCGCATTAGTACAAGAATACAGTTAAGGACAAGGGAGGTGGTCATACCGCTTTACTCTGTCCTCATCAGGCCATTTGTGTGCTGTAAAAGATGCCCAGCGATCTAGTCCAAGGAAGATAGTCCAGGTTGGGGGGATGAGAAGGGTGGGGGGGAGGCAAGAACCTTCTGGTGTATGAGAGCCAGTTGAGGGAATTGGAGGATATGTCTGTCAGCTGGAAGATGTGAGTAGATTTGTTCCATGTTGTCCTCAGATGTCTGACTAAGGGTCCCTGGATAGGGTTTTCAGATAAAATACAGGCCACCCAGTCAAATTTGAATCTCAGATAAGCAACATATAATTTTTTAGTATAATAAGTGTGTCATGAATATTGCACGGGCGTCCTGTATTTTTATTTGCTAAATCTGGCGACTTACCCTTGGAAAACACTGGAGAAGGCAGATTTCTGCTCAGCGTTAAAAAATATCCAACAGTTAGCTCTCTCTAAAAATGGAATGGCTGTCCGGTGGAAAGCGGTCCCCCATCTTCTTGGGTAGCCAGAGTCCAAATGAGCATTGGAGCGTGTCGAGGGAACTCACGCAGGCAAAATCAATTATTAACTCTCCAAGTTCCTCTGGGACCCACAGCCCAGGACAGCAACGGGAGGTGAGCTTGGGAAAGTATTTCAAAGACTGTCCACTGGAGTGGCAGTTGTCTTCTGGATGAATCCGAGAGCCCCAGAAAAATGGAACGTGGCCGCTCCAGTTGCAGGAATCTCAGTGCCACTTCTAGGATGGACAGTCACCTGCTGCCGTCCCTTCTGTGAACTCCACGGAAAGAGCACAGAATTGAGTTAGAAATCCTGCGTTGAAGCCCACTTCTTCAATGTCCTTGCTATCGAGCACATCTCATATTCTTTGAGCCTCGGTTTCCGTATCTGTAAGCTGAGAATAACCATATTCCTTTTCACAGGATTGTTCTGATGATTGAATGAGATGGATAATGCCTTATAGAACACTGTACAGGTGTCAGCCGTTACATCGGTGTTCTTTGTATTATTCCCAGGTAGCACCAGTCTAGAAGACAACTGGTTCCCCATGCAGTTGGTCCTCTCTCCTCTGCACACGCCGCTCCTGGTATGGACACCTCCCGCAGGCAGTGGGCCCCTCACCTCTCTCCTTCTCTGTCCTGCAGGGTCTGTGATGCGAGCGGGCCCGCGCGCCTTCTGTTCCTGTTCCGCTTGTCCCTACAGCTCTGCTTGCTGGCATCGTCTGGGCCTGTGCCATAGCCGCACCTTCGATGTCCTTCTGCCTCGGGCCTGGCCGACCATGCTGGGGAGAGGATTCCCAAACCTGCTCACCTTCTACAGGTCCTGGGGCGCGTGGGGGGCTGGGCCCTCGGGGCACACAGCGTATTAGCAGTCGTGTGTAAATTCTTCCTCTCAGGACTCCCAGGCCCAAAGGAAATCCACGTCCTGGGGGTTGGCACCCGGGCCCTTCTGACTAGCCCCAGGCCCAGGTACCCCACCTTCATGGAGAGGTGACGACTTTCTTCCTTACCGGGCATGGCTTCTTTGGGGTTCATTTTTCTTCACTCCATAGGCAGCCTTCTTGCTCACAGCACACTCCCCCGCAGTCCGTCCTAAAGTCCCTGTCGCTCCTTCCGCAGCCTGGGCCATAGCCCAACGCTTCCAGCTCCTGACCTGCACATGAATGCCCCCTGGAATTTAGAGATAAATACAGATGTAAATCACATACCCCTTGGTGCCAGGAAGACCTCTACCCCCTTCAGCGGGTCTCGGGCTGTTCCTGGCAGCCCCACAGGGGTCTGTCCGTGACCCGGAGGCCCACACAGCATCGCCTGCAGCATCTGCCCTTCTTTTCCTCTCCCACAAAGCCACCAGGTGGCCGCCACTTCCTCTCATGGGAAGACCCCTGTTGAGGGAACTGGACTGAAGATGTCCCTCACCTTTTCCGGTGGCACAGGGCTACACGCAAGGGCTGGAGAGGGGCCTCCGCCTACCCCCAGCTCTGGGCCCCAGGGCAGCTCCGCTTATACTCAGGTCTCACAAATGTCCACAGAAGAGGCCTTCCGCCTGGGCATCTCCCAGCCCAGAAGCTGAGCCCACCCGTCCTCCAACCCCATCCGGCTCCTCTTCCCAGCCCCTGCCGCACCAAACCCCCTCTCTTGTATGTTCGTGAAAAGCACCATCTCTCAGGCATATGAAGAGAGGCAAACAGATACCCAGGTGTGTTGGGAGGATATGCCAGAGCTAAAAATACCATACTGTCTGGTAAGTCCCGTCAAGGAAGGGCCTGCCCCCCACTCACCCTGATCAGCTGTCCTTCCACACACTTAGTGCTTCCGTCCATTTAGTGCCAAGTTGTGCCATGGATTCATAAACAAACAAGTAGGAAAACCGACTCTGCATAAGGATACTAGGCACTGGGAGGGAAACCAAAACAAGGAACTTTACCCTTAAAAATTGTGCAGTCCACATGGTAAGCTAAGATATATACATTTAGAAACTAATGTGCAGGCCAGGAAGTGATACGTGTCCTATAGGAGATGTTCAAAGAGCTTCACTCCTGAGCTGCGATCCAGGTAGACGTTTAGTATCAGTTGTAAATGAGCTGAATCTAAAAGGATTTTAGGATCCTCTATGGCCTATTTTAAAGGGAGAGCATTCCAGGAGGAGGAAAAGGCACAAGGCAAGGCTCAGAAATAGGAAAGTGACGGGGAGGGGCAGAGTCCAGCCTGGCCGGGACGCAGTCCTAATTCTGCTCAAGTTTACACCTGCTTCCATAATCTTTACATTTCTCTGTGGAGTGGAATGTTGACTCTGGGCTTTAAGTGCACATTCACATTAGATAAGAATCCCTACTTTAGTAGGATTTTTGTCCAAATGGATATTGCATCTTGTGAAAGCCTTCCTCACAATTATTAGCATAATAATATACTTTCCTTTTCCACCGCCTCTGTGGTAGGTGTGGTATGCGGTTTCCTCAGATGCCTGAACCCCAGAATAGAGCTTCATCGTAGGACTGCTTCACAGGATGGTTGTGAAGCTTGAGGAGGACACTGGGTGTGAGGTGTTTAGCACGGGGTCTGGCACACGGCAGCCTTGACTACCTTTGTCACCTTCTCTCTGAGTGTCCAGGGGAGCTGGCATCCCAGGCCAGTCCATCCTCGGATCCTGGGGGGTCCTGTGGTAGAGCTTTATTGGGAGGGGTGCAGGGAGTTGTGTTCCTTTGAGAGGAGAAGCCATAGGGGGAGATGGACATTCCTGTGATCCTGAGGGACCCCACAATTTCCACTTTCCCCTGCATATAGACAGGCACTAAATCCCAGCTGCCCCCCAACCTGTGGGCTTTCTGCTTTGCTTTGCAGAAGACCTGCAAGTAAACATTCCACTCATGGTAATTCGCGGGCTCCAAGCCCTCAGGACTGTTGCTGTGGCTCTGGGAGCCCTGGGAGCTGCCTACTATATCGCTGAATCCTTGTGAACAAGTCTCCGGGCCGGCGGCCCAGCAGGTATGTGGGCCCACTTCGTGCCCACGGCCCTTTGCAGAGTGATCCTCGAGCCCACTAATTCACCATCCCTGCAGCGCAGGGTTGATGGAATGTCTGTCTTTTCTCTCAATGGAGGAGGTCTCTAGGGGTGGACGAAGCCCCCAGCCTCTCAGGGGAATCTTGAGAACTGAGTGACTTGTTTCTGGCCTCAGGGTCTACTGGCACATCTCTCTCAGGCAGCCCTGGACACTCGTGGATGATGCTAGACCCATTGTGGGATCTTCAAAACAGAGTTTCCCACCTCTCCTCTGGCCTGGGGTTGGTTCCCCTAGTCGTGGACACCAGATAGGAGGAGATGGGAGAGGCGGGGTCAAAGGGTCCTACGCATCTCAGAGCCTTTCCTCCCAACTTTCTCCCTGCCTGTCACACCATTTCCAGCCCTACCTACCCTTTGTGAACTTCATGTTCCGTGGAGCCTTTCTCCCATCTTTGTTATTACTGTTTTCTCCAGCCTATTCCATCTCATACTGCAGATGATTTTTATGTACATATGTGGCCTGTCTCCACGCTGTATTGCAAGATCCTTGAGGGCAGGGAGCATGCCTTCCACAACATCTTCAATCCTCCCCTGGCTCAGGCTGGGCTCCCTAGAAGCAGAGCCTGAGACAGGGATTTGGGTGCACAGGATTTAGTGAAGGAAAAAAAGTGAGGGAGGCAAGAGAGGGAGGGGAAGGAGTGGAGCAAGGACAAGGTCTCAGCTGAAGCCCGCTTAGCCCAGTCCTGGGGAGCTCTGGAGGGTGAATTACAACCAGAGTTGGTCTCACCGTGAGCCAAGAGGGTTGGCCTTTCATGCCCGTCTGTGAGTCAGTCATTGGCTACAGGGTGAGGTGGGGAGTACATGTCTTTGTGAAAAAGCGGCTCCCATTTGAGTGAGGACAAGTCCCTGAGGAAGGAGGCAGCTCTGAGCCTTTAGCAACCAACATTCATAATTCACAGGAGCTGGGCGTTGGATGTGCCAGCCCAGAGAGGGGATCTGGATGGGTACCAAGAGCACCCCCAATTGTCCCCATTGTCAAGTCCACATGCGGTGAATGCCTAACAAGTGGTGATGGGGGTGGGGCAGGGGGTAATGGGAGCATTTCAACCCACCCCAGGCCTCCAGCAGCCACAGCAGGGCGTGTGATGGGAATAGAGGCTCAAGGTACCTCAGAAGCCCAGCCCGGAAAACAAACTCCGGTGAGAGCTCACCATCTCCTCAAGGGCTCTGCTGCCTGATCCTGGGACATTCATGAAAGAGCAGAGAAGCACCTTAAGCTTCACAAAATTCCACAGCAGTTGAAATCCTCAGTTTCCTCATCTGTACATAGGGAAGATCTTGAGATCGTTGGGAGGATGAGACAAGGTGCTTGGAGGGCAGAGAGCTGGCCAGCTGGGGAAGTCTTGTTACTGTTATCATCATGGAGGTGGTGGTTGTAGGAAAGACGCTGGTTTTGGAGTTGGAGCCGTAGGTGCTAGCCTTGACTCTGCGGCCTGGTCGCTGGGTGTTTGGGGCCACGTTACTTGACTTCTGTGAGAGTCAATAGCATCTCTAAAGTGGGGAGAATAACAGCTACCTCCAAGGGCAATGGTTGTGAGGATCAAGCTAAGGGATGCGCAGCCCTGCAGGGCCTGGTCACGGGTTGGGTAGATGGTGGCGACTGGCAGTGTGAAGATGGCGCCCAAGCTCAAGCGTTTTGTCTTAGAGTCTCCTTCCAGCAGAGCCCACTGGTATGAGCTTGGGTTCCGGAGGCAGGAGGCCTTGGGGTCAGATCCCCCTTCAACACCCAGTATCTCTGGGGCCTGGGCAACTCCCTTAACTCCTGATGCCTCATTTTCTTGTTAAATGGAGATAATAATGCTACAGCTCTCACTTGGGGTGGGGGGGAACTGGGTAAAAAAAATGCATGTGAAACACTTAGCATAGGGCCTGGCACAGAACAGGCACTCAACATAGCAGCGACATCACCATCATTATTTTTTAACTCAGTATCATTATTTTTTAACTCAGTATTCCCCAAACTTTATTGACCTTTGAAATCTGGAATATTACTTTTTTTGTTTGTTTGTTTGTTTTTGCGGTACGCGGCCCTCTCACCGTTGTGGCCTCTCCCGTTGCGGAGCACAGGCTCCATACGCGCAGTCTCAGCGGCCATGGCTCACGGGCCCAGCCGCTACACAGCACGTGGGATCCTCCTGGACCGGGGCACGAACCCGTGTCCCCTGCATCGGCAGGTGGACTCTCAACCACTGTGCCACCAGGGAAGCCCTGGAATATTACTTTTTAAAATATATTTTTTGAAGTATTATTAACCTACAATACTGTGTGAGTTATGGTGCACAACATAGTGATTCGATATGTCTATACATTACAAAATGATCCCCACAAACACTAGTTTTATTAAAACCTAAAATCATTAATGTTAGTAGATGGGAAAATAGTAAACTAGAAGTCAGAATATAGTCAAGCTATGTTTTGGGATCGATCACTGATTTTCTTTAAATTAACTTCCTTTTTAACTTAAATGCATTTATTTTCAAACTGGCCATAAATGGAAAATCCTATCCTTTGCCATAAAAAAGACTCACAGTGAATATAAATACCATAAAAATGAAATGTCATGGAATTCTGGCTGATAGGGTGCCTGAAAAAGTCTCAGCTTTGACGTCAGTGCCCTGTGTGTTCAAAGATATTTGACAAGTGTTGGATGTTAACACTGGCCAGCTCCACGCTAAGACCCTCTTTAACCAGAGGGTTGAAAGATAATGGGAATGGGCCGTGATTCCACATTATTGAACTCGGTGTCCAGTGCCACCCGAAGTGTCTCAGTGTCCACGAGGGAGGGGTGCGTGTCTCACCCACACTGTAGTTCACACAGCCCTGAGCCCTGGGGGGTGGGAGGAGAGAGTGGCGGAGGAGGGGAAGTGAAGGAGGCAGGGGGTGGCGGGGGGAGGACTGGAATGGAAACCTGCCCTGGGCCTGGCGTAGGTCATTTCCCCGGGAATAAATGAGAGTCTGCAAAGTTAAAGAGGCTCCCCAGAGACTGAATCCAGTCTTCACTCCATCCCCCAAAGCTGTGTGTGTGTTGCCATCGGGGGTGGGGGGGGACTTGTTTTGGGGCCCTGGCATCACTGACATCACTTACAAACCACGCAGCGTGCAGACTTCACACAGCTCTGCTGCTTCTGCTCTGAGGGATGATTCCTCTGTCTCCCTAGGGCAGGCGCCTTTCCTGATGCAGGGTTAGGATAGGCGGGTCCTCCCAAGGACAGACCCTCTCTCTTCTGTCCCATGGCGCCTTATTTCCCCAGAGAAGAGGGAGACTAGGCCAGCACCCCTGCCCCATGCAGTAGAGCCTGAAACAGGGTCCTTCCCAAGCCCCAGAGCCCGTGCCTGGTGATTCTGAGGAGGCGGCTTTTCCTCATGTGATGCTCTGCTTTTGTCAAATTGCTCTTCTGGAGACTGTTCTGGAAGCAGCGTTGGGATCAATGCTAATTGGCATTTGGGTGCTTAAGATGTGCAGGCCCCCGCTTCTTCCAGACGTGCCAGGGCCAGGCTGTGGTGTCACCTCCCATGTCATTCAGTCTATGCTGTGGGCCTGAGGGTCTGATGAAGACACTGCCAGCAGGGGTCAGGGAAGCATGTTCTGGAAGTCCAGAAGTTTTAGCCACCGTTCCTAGACATTGGTCGCCATGGTATTTTCCACCCCGACTCCCCAGTGTCCCCCACATACCCCCCTGTGTAGCTATGTAAGTGACTGCAGGCAGTCCTGGATACTTTGGGCGCTGATCCATGAAATGACCTCAGTATAATCAGAATGATGGGAACACAAGGAGATGTCCTTGTGCTACTTTAGTATAATCAGAATGATGGGAACACAAGGAGATGTCCTTGTGCTACTTTAGTATAATCAGAATGATGGGAACACAAGGAGATGTCCTTGCGCTGCTTGTGAGTTCAAGGATGACATGCACGGCATGTCTTCAAGAAAGCCCATTGTTGCTTGTCTAATCAATAAAAGCATATGTTGCTGCTTTGGCATTTCTGGAATGTTAAGAAAACAAGTCTTAAGATGTAAACATAGATAATGCTTAAATAAAAGCTACCACAACAGGACAGACGGCGCTGTGTTGCCTGAGCGAACAGCAGCCCTCTACTGCTGTGCTTCTGCACAATTCATCTCATGTGATGAGCTTACTTTCGGCCCTGTCATAAGAAAACTACAACAGTGGGTCACCTCGGCTGTCACGTATCAGCACCAATCATGTGCCCAGCACCACACTAGGTGCTGTGAGACGTGACAACACAGTGGTGAGTGGATGGCCAAGTCCATCAACAGACCCAGGCTAGGGGGCTTCCCTGGTGGCACAGTTGTTGAGAGTCCACCTGCCGATGCTAGGGGACACGGGTTCGTGCCCCAATCCAGGAAGATCCCACATGCCACGGAGCGGCTGGGCCCGTGAGCCATGGCCTCTGAGCCTGCGCATCCGGAGCCTGTGCTCTGCAACAGGAGAGGCCACAACAGTGAAAGGCCCGTGTGCCACAAAAAAAAAAAAAACAGACCCAGGCTAGGCTTAAGACTTTGAGGTCTAGTAAAGTCTGTGGATCTAAGCCAGCCAAGACTCCCAGGCAAAGGGAGCAGAGGTGATAACTCAGATGTAGACACCTGACATCCAAGCTAGAAGGCGGCAGAGTCCAGATGGGAGAGAGTGTTTGGTAATTAAATAATGCATTCATTCATTAAATATTTCTTGGGCACCTACCTTGTACCAGGACAGGAAGGAGCCCTTCCTTGGGAGCCTACATTCTAGTGGACACAGACAAGTCAGTGAATAAACAGGATCACTTGATTCGGTGGTAAATTTTATCAAGGAAATAAAAATATAAAGTTGGTCTGATAAAGAGCAGAGAGGTTGGGGGGTGACCAGGAGGGGCCGCTGCTGGAG